CTGCCGCGCCACCAACACCTCCGCGCCGTGCAGCGGCAGGGGGGACTGCATGTGCGGCCTGTGCATGTGCCACGGCAACAGCCTGCATGGCCAATACTGCCAGTGCGACGACGCCAGCTGTGACCGGCACAACAACAAGATCTGCGGGGGTGGGTGCTCGGGGCCCGTTTCTCATTTCCAGCCAGGACGGGCTCGTCTCAGCCTTTAACATGCGCCCACTGGTGTCCCTAATTTCTCTCTCTCTCTCTCCCTCCTTGCAGGCAACGGGCAATGTGAGTGTGGGAAGTGCAGGTGTAACCCCGGCTTCGACGGCACGGCCTGCGAGTGCTCCACGGCCACGGACGCCTGCGGGGGGGGGAGCGGCGAGCTCTGTAGCGGGAATGGGGTGTGTGAGTGCAACCGCTGCAGGTGCAAGGAGGGCTACTACGGCCAGCTCTGCACCGGCTGCCATAACTGCAAGGACGACTGCGAAAAGTTCAAGTGAGTGCCCGTGCCCTCTGCGTGCGTGCACAGGCACTGCTGTGTTTCTGAGGATTCGGCACTGTGGAGTTTCGTTTTGGCAGAGTAGAGAATTCATTTAAGTAAAACGAGAGACAATGGCAGGTTCCTTCATGTTTAGAAATACCAATTGCGTGTCAGGTTGAGCAACGTGTCCTTCCTCGACACCAGTGAATTTGAGTCAAGGGTTTGATCTGTGCATCGTCCGCTGGAGAAGCGCTTCTTTAAGGGACAGGGGTGCTTTTCCTTCAGCTCAGTTTTTTGTGGTGTTGCCAGTGAGTGTGTGACGTGCAAAGCGAAGGGGACCGAGAACTGCAACTCCGACTGCATGGGGGTCCAGGTCAAAATTGTGGAGGAAGTCAAAGAGTTCTCCTGTCGTGTCGGCTCCTATGTCTTCAGGATCGAGCGGGACTCCAGCACAGGCCTGCCAGCGGTCATCTACTTTTCCGATGCTCCAAGTAAGTTATGCCATTTTATCACTCCTGCCCTCCCAGAGCTGACTGATCCATGTCTGCATTTCAGTCCAACCCACTCCTGAATTTGTAAACAAGGGACTCAAACTCTCCTGGAGGGCCTCTGTTTCTCTGAACATTTTCACTCCTACCCTGTCCTGTCCCTTGTTTCCTGTGCTTTACTCTTCTTCCGGTGTCTCTCCCTCTGGGGCTATATATTTCTGGGTATCTGATTCACCTTCGCTCAGCATTGACGTTCAGATGTCCTGAGACCCGCCTAGCATCCAGGTCGCCCCACGTCCGCTGCCTGAGGGCTACGTTTTTATACGACTCCTGAACTGCTGATCCTGGGCTAATCCCCCGTCCCGCCGCTACGCATATGGGTCTTTTTTCTGCTCTCCTGCCTCTCCACGGTTTGTCCTTTCCGACATCCGTGACAAACATGAGCTTGGCTTGTGTTTAACTAAAAAAAAATAAGCATACCTGTGTTTGGATTCCCAGCCCCCCCCCCCTTACAGTTGCTAGCTTTAAGATGTGCAGTTCGTGGGAACAATAGCTGTGAGTATTTCTGGGCTCGGGGAGAAGTAATACAGTTAAACTAATTACGCCCACGAGAGCTCAGGTGATATGAAAGACAGAACAAATCGGAGTCCCTGCAAAGACGGATTGTAGTGAGAAGGCTTCTGGTTTACAGTTATGTTCTCCATAAATTCAGTAGAACATAAGATGGGTTACAGACAGGATAGACAAGACATTTGCAAGTCCAAGATCTACTTGAACGCACACGATCTTCGCTGCTGTCTGTATTCTCCCCAGCGACCATCGATAAGACCTATGTGATCGTGGGCAGTGCAGTCTCTGGGATAATCCTGATTGGCCTGGCCATCATCATCCTATACCGCATTAGTGTGGAGGTGTACGACCGCCGGGAGTACCAGAACTTCCTGAAGGAGCAGCAGAACGTCAGATGGAAAGAGGTGAGGTTCTGGAGTCTCTAGAATCCATTTGAATCCATGACTGGTTTGGATTTTGCACCGGTTCATGTCTTTAAAGAACACAGTTTAGTCCCACAGAATGCTATGCTCAGTACGTTGTACACTGCGTGTATTTGGCATCTCCTGTGAGTCACACCCGCTGTGAACTGCTGATGCACAGTTGCCGCACACACTTTCTTGAGATGCCTCAAATAAGTCAGTAGAAGGAAGTCCTCGCGCTAGTGGCTTTTGCCTCCTGGGGCAGTATGATGGGTTGTTGCCACTTAAGAGTATGTGATGTAACATCCAACATCTTTTCCAGCCTGCATTACAATGAAGAGCTGTCAGGTGTGTCGGTTTGCCCGTAAGAGTGTCTGTCAGTATAGGTCTTCTCTGCAGGACCTTGTTCCTGCTGGAAATAAACTATAAATTCTGGGAATGTGTCTATCACATCCCCGCGTGTACAGATGCTTCATTTCGAAAATGAACTCATGACCGTTTGGGAGCTCCAGTCAACGGAAAGCACAAAACAACTCTTAATATATTATTTTTTACTCTTTGTATTTTGTTTGTACTTGTTCAGCATGTATATGTATGCAACGCATGCAACATACAATATTCCACTACAGTATATGCTCTTCCAACTGCGTGGACTCTTAAATTGCTCTTTTCTTCCACCGTTTGCGTTGCAGACTCACAACCCGCTGTTCAAGGATGCCACAACCACCGTGGTCAATCCCATGTTTCAAGACACATAGCTCCTCTCCCCACCAGTTTGACAGGTGAGGATCCTGGGAGTTCATAGGTCACGGTCTGGAGAGGAAAGGCTACAACAGAAAGTAGAGAGATGACTACCAATCAAGTTCCTACACAACCCCCCCCCCCTCCCTGACGCCAGATGGTTTGGGCTTTGTAGCAGTTTAGACTCCCTAGGATGACACCAGACCCCACATCACCATTAGATGTCACAGCCAAGTTCCTTTCTGTCTCTCCCACACAGTTCCGTCCCTATTCAACCCAGCTGCGTTTTCTAGATCGAACCGGGCCTGCCCAAACTTTAGGACGCCTAGGGTGACCAAAGGAAGAACCTCTTTCTTATTTAAAAAACGGAACCTCCTTTTTTTCTGTGTTGCCTTTCAGTGTGGAATCCCCAGTTCTTGCAGACTTGATTCAGCGATGCAGGTCCTGCAACACATGGGGGGAATGAGGACTGGCAGATACACGGTGCCCTGCAGCACAACTGGCCCCTAGCTCACCTAACGCCAAGACAGCCCACCCCTACTCTGACCGTGCTCTTCTGCCAGCTGTGAATCCCAGTTGCAATTGGCTGTTGGTGTGACCCAGGATCGAAACGACAGGTTCAACAGTTGAGCTCAACCTGCATTTCTCAACCTAATGGAGACACTTGGGAGCCTGAGGTTCTGATTCGCAGCAAATGTGTAGTGCTTTCCTTCATGTCCTGAAGAAAGCCCTATTCTTTTATATGAAGGAACGTCCCAGTTTCCTAGGCAGACCCAGGGAATAATGCACAGGACAGACGAATAGCATCCCCTCAATGCCACAAACTGTCCCTCCCTCCATTTTCTAACTGCTTCCTCTAACTCCTCTGACTCAGGGAGAGCCAGGGCTCCCCCTGGCAAGGAAGGGGTAAAGGCAGGGAACACCTGGGGCAGGACACCAGTCCATCACAGGGCACACAGACACACACACTCACACCAGCGCCAGTTTTCCCAGAAGCCATTTAACCCACCAGCACGTCTTTGGACTGTGGGAAGAAATAGGAGAACCCAGAGGAAACCCATGAAAACAAGAGGAGAACACGCAAACTCCACACAGACAGCACCCCAGGTCCAGAATTGAACCAAGGACCACAAGGCTACGAGGCAGCAATGCTAACCACTGCGTCACCGTGCTGCCCATGCCACAACATTTCAAATAAGATCCTTTACGTTTTTGGTTCTTCACACAATTGAGTCCATCTGTCGGTACAAGCACAAGCGAAGATTGTCGGGATTTGTCTCCTAGTCATGTAATATTGGTTGGCAGCTAGAAATTGTCTGAAGTGGCCTTTTTGTCAGGATCAGCTGTATTTGTTGGAGACTAAGAGCCCACAATATCAAGCCACGAAACTTACGTTGGATGGCAATGCTGTGACAAGTGACTGACGCCCCAACACAGTCGCTTCAGCCATGTGATTGCTGCAGCCTCTGGCCCACCGAGACACAGAGGACCAGCAGCTTTAGGAAATTGTTCAGATTTAGCAAAAGGCTGGATTCTGGTCAGTTCTTTTGACGGGTAAAGATAAAAATCACAGAGAAAATAGCAGAGGAGAAAGCACAGATATCCCTTTTCTCAAGTCTGTCCATTGTTTTATTCTGAGGCCAGCTCACCAGAGGAGAATAATTGACTTCACTTTTGAACTGATCCTCTTGAATGAGTCCCGTTACCTTTTTAATTATTGTTATTCCTTGTATTTTGCATGCAATTTGGATTTTTTTTTTTACATAATTACTCCGGACGTTTGCACTCTGTAAAATAAATTGATTTTTTTGTAAAATGGTCTCTTCTGTGTCATGTCAGTCCTCTGGGCTTGTATGTTTGCTGAAGCCAGTCAGGAGGTGTGGGGAAGCCCTGGTGCCCGTGGTTCCCTGTCCAAAGTGACTGGGTCGGCCTCCTTCTGCACATTCGATCAGCCCCTTCCTGCAGTCCGGAGACCTGGAGTAAGAGGTTCCTGCTCCCAGTGGTCCAGTCTCCCTGATCCCTTTCCATCTCTTTGACTTAGCAGTGGGCAACCTGTGGCCCTGGAGCCAGGGCCGACCCCCTGGGGAAAGGGATCAAGGGTATTCCCAAAATACAATAGACGACGTGTGTTTCCAGTCATACACACATCTTCAAAACTGTTTACCCATGAAGAGATACTTGAGATACAGGCTGGCGTCCCATCCAGGCGGTAGTCCTGCCTTATCCCATCCTTCCAGGATATTCCAGGACAGGTTTTAGGTTGCTGCGACCCTTTCCTGGAATAAAGATCTGGGTGGATGGAAGATACTTGTAAGCATTAAGGTCTCTTGTGGCTTTGCAGTTGCTTGTTAACTCTGTGGTTGAGGATGTGCTGCTGCTCATGACGTGAGCTTAACTGATTTAATCGGACCGATGACTTGCTTGACATTGGCTGTTTTAACAGGTTTTTCTGGTCAAAACAAATCTGGTGATTTCAAGTTTTAGCATCTCACGGGCCCCTTGTAACTCCCACGTGTTTTGGGGTGGAAAGGCGGAAAGGAGTAATGGACAAATTGCCAGTTTTGTAGAGGGGACTGCAGAGATCGGATGCCGCAGCCTGGGGCAGGGTGCGTAGGCCTGCTGTGCAGCTGAGCTGGCGCTGGTGCGCTGCTGGAAGCGTACAGGTGCCCAGACCAGGAAACTGCACTGCTGTCGCCACCTGCTGGCCACTGAAGAGGAACCCTGATCTTCAGAGGCGTGTAAATGTACTTATATACACAGAAGATTGCTCTTTCTGACAACAACACGGAAGAAGCCCAGGAATTTTAACATCTCCACATCATCTTCCCTTTATAACTAACCTCATGAGACCCGCCTGAAGAAGGCTCCACAGCCGAAACGTTGCGTTTATTTTCTTCTCTTTTCAGCCTGGAATAAACCTTTACATGTTCCTTTATATACACATACCTTACTTGCTTTATTATGGGTGCAGAGTGGACATGGAAATTCTTTTAATGTCGCAGACAGCCATTCAATTCTCCAGTACAATTTAACTCAGACATTGGAGACAAGGGTCGATTATTCAAAATCATCACCAGAATCCCCAAAATGAACTGACAAGGTCAACCTGGAGGACTACTTCAGAATCAGCAGTGAAATATGAACCAGAGGACACAAGCGGAATCTACAGGGAGGTGCATTTAAAACTGAGAACAACAGGCACTGTCCAGATTGAGAACAATCTGGAACAAACTGCCCAGCCATGTTGTTGAAGCTGATGCCCGGCTGTCTTGAAAGAAACGGCAGGATGAGATCCTAGGAACAATTAGCTACTGCAAAAAAAAAACTAACTAGGGGGTTCGAACAGGTTCATCGCGTCCTCGATTCCTTCTTAGCACGTAATAAAACTTGGCACGCTTTGAAAAAAAGAACTACATTTCCCAGAACCCGTTAAGACGTTCCTACGTAATTGCGTCAGCAACGTAGACGGAACGCGTTGTATGATTGGATGGAACGTATTTTTGAACAGTGAAGGAGCGGGGCCTGCGTTTCATGGCGGTTTGCTGTTATTTAAATTTGAGACGTGGATTTTTGTTTGGTTTTATTGAGGAAGGACCGCGGGATATTAACAGTTTTAACAAACATCCTTATCGAGCGAAAAGTGAAATTTAGTATTTTTTTCTCTGGAGCATGGTAAGTGCTATTCGACAAGATTGTTTTCTACAATCTTTAGTATTTTATAAAGTTGTAGCAAGATACGAAACTTGTCTTTAATAAAGAAATCCGGCTGCAGGCGTTTTTACTTATACTCAGGGTGACAAGACTGATATTGTTTTGTGAAGTCTGAAGTGATTTTGTACGAAGACGTACGCGAAAACTACCTCTGAGACGTGATAACATGGTATCTTCGTTCCGGTGCAGATATTTGTATCTATTCATGGCTCGTCATGAATAAAATTTGATCGGCTGAAGTAAGGCATTGTAAGTTCTCCGTGACTGAGATTAGATATTTGTCAACGCGTCTATGTTTAATTCGAAACTCTTTCTCAAACTTTCGCTCTCTTTCTCTGTCACTAGTTAGCTTAAGGTCACTGGGAGCCGGACTTCACAACACATTATGTTCAATACACACATCGACTCAATGTAAGGCTACAGCCAGCAATAACTCAGGGTTCCTGCTGTCCTACACTCATTTCATATTGAGGCATTATTCGCCTGAGGAGCTTTTTTTTTGTTATTAAAGAAAACTTTTTTTACTTTCCCTACTCTTGACTTCCTGCTGTCTGTACGGAAAGCTGTGAGGACATTTCCCGGCCATGAAGTGCATGAAGGTGGACGAGTTAATCAAGCAGACGGGGAGTCTGAGGGACATCCAGATCCTGCACGCCCAGGTGGAGGTGAGCTCTGAAAGACGTTGTCCGAGGCAGCGTGGAACAGCACTTGAGAGAAAGACCCGCTCTTCCTGGTGCTACAGGGTTGTGTTGACAGGGGAGGTGCAGTTTACTGAGCGGCGATGGGGTCTGGTTTAAGGATGCTTGACTCCAGGACTGGAAGTCTCAACATGTGGAAGTGTGGCCTGATGTGATGGGGGTTTGGGGCTTTAAGTCCAGCCTTAATAGACGACCAAAAAAAAACAGCTAGCAGAACTAGTAAAAAAACACAGTATTGTGGTTTTTATTTGAGAGTCATGACCAGAATGACCCCCCTCTAGTTCCCAGCCCTTCACAGAATTGTGTTCTTGTTTCATCCCACGGTTCAAAGACATGCTGGTGGGTTAATTGGCTTCTGGGAAAGCTGGCCCCAGTGTGGGTGTGTGTGTCTGGGCGTCCTCGCCAGGGTGTACCCTGCCTTTTGCCCTTTGCTTGCTGGGATAGACTCTGGCTCCCCTGATACCCTGTGTTGGAAGAAGTGGATAGGAAATGGATGGATGTTTGATTAACTAAAACTGTAGAATAATAATGAATTTACATC